ATGTGGAGGCAGGATGCCATACGGTAAACTCTCCAAACAATACGTCTCGAACGTATACGTATGTTCATGTGCTTTGCATTATTCTCTCAGTCCAAAGAAACCAGAAATTCAATAAAGGAATAATGATGTGAATGTGTTCAGTCTTTGCAAACTGTCCAGAGTACCTCCATTTCAGAAATCTCTGTCTGACACTCTCTCTTATACTCATGGTAATGTGAAATAAAGCCCTAAAATGTTGCCAAATGTGATTTGAAAGACTGCTACCAGTAAAAATATGAGTGATGGTCTCAATCTCAAAACAACACTGACATCGAGAAACCAAATGACTGCCGATCCTCCTCTGGATAATGACATCAGCTGGTATTAAATCCTGCCATAGTCTCCAATGAGAATAACCGATGCTCTTTGTCAGACTCTACAAAGTAAATATTTAGACATCTTGGCTGCTACGAGATTTGTTTCTACTACAACAATGCTCCTTAAAAAATTGAGGGATGATGATTGGGAAGAATTTCTTGAGGAAGTGAAAATTTTTTGCTCAAAACATGATATTGAGATACCTGACTTGGAAAGTTTGTCAAAGGTTGGTCTCTTTCGTTCTCGTGACCAAATTACAACGGAACATCATTATCACTTTGATGTTTTCAATGAAGCAATAGATTTTGTACTAATGGAATTAAATACAAGATTTAATGAGACATCAGTTGAACTTCTCACACTCAGTCCAACTTTGGATCCCAGAAATTCATTTGAATCATTTAGCATTCGTGATATTTGTACACTTGCTGAAAAATTCTATTCTGCTGATTTTTTAACGCAAGATATTCATACTTTGGAATATGAGTTGCGACATTTTGAGCTAGATATGAAGAGCAACTCTAGATTTCAAGTATCTACACTTGTTGAGTTATGTCAACAATTAATTGAGAGTTGCAGGTCAGAGACTTATATTATGGTTACTCGATTGATTAGTCTTGTATTGACTTTACTTGTTTCTACTGCGACGACTGAGCGAGCATTTTCAACAATGAAACACGTGAAGACAGATCTTCATAACAGAATGGAGGATGACTTTCTTAGTGATTGTATGACACTCTTCATCGAACGAGAACTTGCTCAAAACATAGATATAGATTCTGTTATACATGAATTTTAAGTTTCAAAACCTCGTCGGGAACAACTTCAAATTAAATGAATTTGAATTTAATTTATCTATGAATTTATTATATCGAATTTTAAATTTTAGCCAGTGAGCGAAAAATTCCAGGATCCGCCCACCCAATTCAAATCTCTAATGGATTCACATAGATCCAACCCCGGATACTCAAAATCAACTTCCAAAAACCTTGGCTCTAATACCACTTTATATTGGTTTATATCCATATTACATCAGAAACTACAAGGGATAACTAATACAACTCTTGAAATCCAAAGACATCATCACTTGTTTTCCTCCTATGTAGATTATTAGAGGAATAGCTTTGCCCACAAATATATGCCACTCGAGTTATTGCACATGCCTTCTTAGAGAACGACAATTAGATTTTCCTACGAAATCCAAGAGAAACCTCAAAAATCAAACAACAAAGTAGAATCATATTCAAAAACACTGTTCACCAATGATAGTTTAAACAGAACCTAGGTAAAAAAAAAATTGGTATCGAAGGCTTAAATAGATCAACCTTTGATTCTTAGCGACCAAAAGAAGAAAAAAATTATGAGAAACGAAGGAATTTTTTTGAGTGATTTCAATGGTTACTTCATACGTAAATAACACTCGGTCCATAAAATGATATAGTTGTATAAAGGATATAGTATTCTTATCTCCGAGGGAATCAACATGGTTCAGCATATAATTTGATCCTCTTGAGTATTTCCAATAGCATCCATTAGTCTCTCTCATATCGTAGTTGGAATCATTGATTTTTTTTTTTTGAAGATGAAACGAGTATCATTGAACATCGCAATAGCGAACGGTACAAGGAGAATAGACCTCCACCACAATGCCCTCCGAAGCGGGATTA